CGCTGCGAACAGAGCCCCGGCCACTGTTTAAATCCCCAGCCCGGTCACCCTGAAACAGTGGCATGCCCAGGAGTGCCCAAGATCCAAAAGGCTAGAAGCCTGGAGGGTGGGATCATGGCATGCCTGGACCCTGTGGGAGTCCTCGTCCCTCCACCCTCTCTTATTCTCATGTGCACACGCTCTAACACGAACAAAGAAAAACTTTTATAAGGATGCCCACATCTAGTGTCCAGCCCCAAACCATACTCGTCTCTCCTGATCTGTACTTCAGTTGTTTCCCGGGCACGTCTCCCTAGATGCTCTGTAGACATTGTCTTGGTCAAGACAGGCTGGGCTATGCCGGGGTTAGAAAAAACCCTCCGTGGCTTACAAAGATGTGTTTCTTATTCCCATTACACACTCGCTGTGTCTCTGCTGCAGCTGTGGCCCTCCTGTCCTCCCTTTGGAGCTCGGCCGGCAGAGGCATCTGTCTGGATCGTGGCCAGTCATTGTGGCAGAGGGGAGAGAAGATACACGACAGGCCACGTGCTGGCTCTTAGGGCTTCTGCCCAGACCTGATGCATTTCAGGTTGCATTTCATCAGTCAAAGCAAGTCACGTGGCCACTCCTGAGATAGCTGGGGGGATGTCTAATCCTCCATCTGGGAGGGGCAGGGGAGACACAGGCTCCTACTGAAAGTTCTAGCCAAACACGTCTATACCTCTACTTACTGTTTTAACCCCACCCAAAACCTGTTTCTCGCCCGTTTTTAAAAATTCTCTTTCTTAGCATTGCTGTGTATTAAGTCAGCCAACGTGGAAGCTTCAGAGTTGTCTTTAAATTCTCCTCCTTCCTTGTGCTTCCAGTCGATCCAATCATCTTAGTTTTCTGCTCTAAAATCTCTCTCATCTCCGCTGTCCCTCTCGTGTGTCCCTGTTGTCTGAGGCGGAACCCCAGCTCTGCGGGAGACCCCTGGCAGTCTCCCGGGCCCCATCCCTCCTTCACAAGGGTGCCTCCGCCCTGCTGTCAGGGCTGGGTTTTTAAAACACAGGGCTTACTGTGCTACTCCACTGCCCCAAATACCTAAGTAGTTCCTGTTGCTCACTGAAAGCTTTTCTGTGGTGGTCAGTATTTTCCCGAGGTTTCCTCTTTCATCATGACATCACACAGCGTCCATTTCCCAAACCGCACGTCCACTGTGCATTCTTTTTCTTTTTTTTTCCTTTTCTTTCTTTTTAAATTTGCCAACCAGCATGTGTGCACTCCGGGGAGAAAGTGAGAGAGAAACTGAGAAAGCACCCGCCCCCCAGTGGAGAACGGTCACCCTGCAATGCCTTCTCCATTTTTTCTCTCCTTTCAGGATCTTGGGCATGCACACACACATGCCCAGCATGTGTTTCAAGCCACCGGATCCAGGACTTGAACCTTACAGTAGGCCATGTGGGATCCAGCCACCTTAACCACCACACCCTGGCTAATCCACTGTGCGTGCTTACTCCTAGGCTGTTTGCACCAATCCTTAACAGAAGTAAGGGGGAAAGCAGGGTTATTTATGTGAGTGAATAAAGGCTCCGAGAAGTCATACAGTGAAAGGGCCTTTTTTATTTTTATTTTTAATTTGCCAGAGGTGCATGTGCTTGTCAGAGAGAGACAGAGGGAGAGAGCACCTCCCATTTGGCACAGTCTTGCCCCAATCCCTTCTTTACCCTTCTGTCCTGTTGGGATTTGTGGCACGCATGCACAAAGACCCAGCATATTTCTCAAGCTCCAGGTCCTAGACACAAACCACACAGTTGGCCGCATGCGATCTGCCTGCCGGAGCCACTAGGCCATTGGACGGCACGAGAGTCTCCGTAACATTGGTCTAACCTGGTGTTTCTTGAATTTATTGGAACATAAAATACGTGAACAGATCTTGCAAAACGAATATTCTTTTAAAAAGAAAATAGATTTCTCCCTCTCTGTTTCTCTCTGGTGAGCACATGTACCCTCTGGCAAATTGAAAAAAAAAAAACAAAACTTTTTTGCTATATGCTTCTCACAGCCTTTAGTCATGTATAGTTTTGGGTTTTTGGTTTTGGTTGTTTTTTTTGTTTTGTTTTGTTTTTTTGTTTTTGCCCCAGGGCACGTGCCTTCCACTGGAGAGTGCATGCACTCACTGAGACAGAGGAAAAGTATTTCCATCCACTCTCCTCCATTCCCCTCTTGGGATTTTGGGGACACACAAACACACACACACACACACACGCTTGACACGCGGGAGGTGTTTCAAGCCACCAGGTCCAGGACTCAAAACCATGGTCGGCCATGTGAAAATCCAGCACCTTAACCACCACACCATCTGCTGGCCCCAGCACTAATATTCTTAAAGAACACACTTTGTGAGGAAAAATACTACAACCCTTATAACTCAATTACATTTCCTCTTGTCCAGCTAGGGATCCAAGTTTACATATGAATTTAAAAGAAGGAGAATTTCTCTACCCAAAGAATTATACATGCATTGTTATATAATCTTCAACTGAAGTTACCAATAATTAGATTGGGACCCAAATAAACTGTCATCAAGTTTGTGCTTATGGCGGCCAGCAGGTGGTGTGGTGGTTAAGGTGTTGGATTCTCACATTGCAGATGGTGCAATGGTTATGTCACTGGATTCCCATGTAGTCAACTGGTTTGAGTCCTGGACCCAGCAGCTTAAAACTCATACTGAGCACGTGTGCATGCATGCCCAAAATCCAGAGAGGAGAATGAAAGGAGGAGGGAATGTGATATGGCCATTCCCCTGGGGGGGCTCTCTGTCTCTCTCTCTGTCTGGCAAGCACATGCACCCTAGAGCAAAAATCTCTCTAAAAAAACAAAATTAAAAAAGAGAAAATCACTATGAATCAATAGATACATACATTTTTTTTTTTTTGAGAGGCTTTTGCTATAGGGCGCGTGCACTCGCCAGAAAAACAGCAACAGAGACAGAAAGTGAGAAATCACCCCTCAGGGGGGATGGCCATGCCGCAGTCCCTTTTCCTCCATTCTCCTCTTGGGATCTTGGGCATACATGCACACATGCCCGGCATGAGTTTAAGCCACTGGGGCCAGGACTTGAACCGCCATTGACTACACGGGTATCCAGCAACATAGCCATTATGCCAACTGCTAGTCCATACATAAATATTTTTGAAAATGTGTTTATATCTAAATTGATTTCTTCATTTTAAACCCTTTACATACAGCAGATGAGGATGACCAATTTGTAAGATTTAGTTCCTTTCCTTGTAAACACATTTCCGGGCTTCCCCTCTCTGCTTTCCTATAAGTTTGATTTGAGAGTTTTGGCTATAGAAGACCATTAGAATTTGTGTTGTGTGTGTGTGCCAGAAGAGGTACACTCACCAGGGAGAAAGAAGACACCCTGCAATGGAGCAGGGTCATGCCTCAGTTCTTTTCCTCCATTTCTCCGTCTCTTCTGGATTTTGGGCACCCAGGCACACATATTGACCATGTTTTCGAGCCACCAGGCTGAGATTCGAACCAGTCAACCATGAGGGATCTGGCTCCCTATGCGCCGTGCTTAATCATTTATTTCGAAGTATTTTATTTAATTGTATTTATCATTATGTTTAACTTTGTTACAGAGCACACGCACCTACCAGAGAGAGACAGAGAAAGAGATGGAGTGGGAAAGTGAGAACACAAGCCACCAGGTCTGGGACTCAAACCGCAGTCAGCCATGTGGTAGTCCAGAGCCTTAACCACCATGCCACCCACTGGCCCAGTGATGTCTTTTATTGATCCCATAAAGTATTCATTTCACTGAACTTGGTAAACCGGTTCAAAGATTCCTTCATCTTTTACTGAAAGTTGTGGAGATTTTCTTTTACTCCAATTAAGGAATAAAACAGATTTTTTTCCTCAGGAAGCTTATCCACGTTAACTGTTCATTTTTCCCTCTCTGCAAACATACCAACGTGTCACGTGTAAATAGGTGACAATATGCGGTCTGAAGCAGTGAAATCATTCTTTCTGTGCATTTTTCTTTAGAGGCCTTGGAATATATTTGTTTGAGAAAATACTTTAGGATGATGTGGTTGGTACAAGAGAAAGCCATGGGGAATTCAACATCTTGAATTAAAGTGGTTTTCAAAACTTGACTGAAGAGCAGTTTACTAGGTCAGCCCGTGGTGTGGTGGTTAAGGTGGCTAGATCCCTTGGGGCCAGCAGGTGGCATGGTGGTTGAGGGCGCTGGACTCTCACACGGCCAACCGCGGTCAAAGTCCTGGACCTGGTGGCTTGCTTTCTCACTTTCTCTCTCTCTCTCACTCTGTCCCGCTATGATCAAATTAAAATAAGTAGATAAATAAGTAAAGTGGAAGAATTCTTTTAAAAAATGATGATTGGGACCATTTATCCAGCAATTCAGATTAGTTTTTTTAAAAAAAGATGGCTGGATCCCACATGGCCATCTGCATGGTGCAGTCCAGCCCTGACGGCTTGAGAAACACACCAGGCATGTGTAAATAGATGGCTGGATCCCACATGGCCAGCTGCATGGTTGAGTCCAGCCCTGGCGGCTTGAGAAACACACCAGGCATGTGTCTGTGTGTGCCCAAAATCCCAAAAGGAGGGAGAAATGGAGAAGGGACTGTGGCATGCCCACCCCTCATGGGCGTGCTTTCTCACTCTCTCTCATTGTGTGGTGAGCACATGGACCCTCTGGCAACATTTTTTTAAAAGGGGATGGAGGGGCAGTTTACGAGTCCAGCCCTGGCGGCTTGAGAAACACACCAGGCATGTGTCTGTGTGTGCCCAAAATCCCAAAAGGAGGGAGAAATGGAGAAGGGACTGTGGCATGCCCACCCCTCATGGGCGTGCTTTCTCACTCTCTCTCATTGTGTGGTGAGCACATGGACCCTCTGGCAACATTTTTTTAAAAGGGGATGGAGGGGCAGTTTACCAAGGTGTTACCAACTAAAATTCAGAACACAGTGTGGTATTTTGATAACTAACTCCACTTGTTTTGGTAGGTGGGGAAAAGTGGAAATGTCCCAGCAGGCACTACGGTGGACAGCACCATCACGCATCCCTCTGAGTTCGACTTTTACCTCTGTAGTCACGCAGGAATTCAGGTAATTTAGAAGCTAGTCCAGATCTTTGACTCGATAGGGAAACACTTGCAAATTCAGCAACTAGCTTGAATAGACTCATGATTCAACACCGCGCTTCACTTGGTTAATGCTCGGGTCCTAGAACGGTTGTCTTTTTGCCTAGGTATCGACTGGCAGGTGTGCTAGGCAGAAATACTTTTGAGTTTAGGGAGCAGGTTTCAATTCTCTCCTCTCAGATAGTCAACCCTTTTCAGGCATCCGTTAAAGATAAAATTCTCTCTCCAGGGAACCAGCCGTCCTTCGCATTACCAGGTCTTATGGGATGACAACTGCTTCACTGCAGACGAGCTCCAGCTGCTGACGTACCAGCTGTGCCACACCTACGTCAGGTGCACTCGCTCCGTCTCCATCCCAGCCCCTGCGTACTACGCCCGCCTGGTAGCCTTCAGGGCAAGGTACCATCTGGTGGATAAGGACCATGACAGGCAAGTTCCTTAGGCAGGATAAAGACCTCTTTCTATCTTAATGCATGTTTAAAAGATGAGCTACACAGAAAAAAATTGTATTAAACCTTATTCATTCATTTATTTAGAGAGAGAGAGAGAGAGAAAAGGAAAGCGAGAAAGCAAGCCACCAGGTCTGGTTCATGAACTGCATTCGGCCATGTAGGAGTCCGGTGCCCTCAACCACCATGCCACCTGCTGTCCCCTCAGAAAACTTTTTAAAAAAGGGAACTGCAGATGGCATAATGGTTTTGTTGCTGAACTCCCGCATGGCCGACAGCAATTTGAGTCCCAGATCTGGTGGCTTGAAACACACCAGGCATGTGTATGTGCATGGTCAAAATTCCAAGAGGACAATGGAGGAGAAGAGATCGTGTTGTGGCCATCATCCCACTCCTCCGCCGATGGGGGGTGATTTCTTGCTTTTTCCGTCTCTGTCTCTCTGGCAAGTGCACGCACCCTATGGCAAAAATATCTTTAACAAAAGAAAAGAAAAAGAAAAAGAAAACTTTATAAAAGATTTAAACTTCATGGGGCTGGCAGGTGGTGTGGTGGTTAAGGCGCTGAACTCTTACAGGGCCACCCACACAGGGTTCAAGTCCCAGACTCAGCAGCTTGAAAATCATACTGGCGTGTTTGTGTATATGCCCAAAATCCAAGAGGAGAATGGAGGAGAAGGGATTGTGGCATGGCCATTCCCTCAGGAGGTGATTTCTCACTTTCTGTCTCTCTGTCTCTGTCCACTGAGTGCATGTACCCTATGGGGTGGGGGGGAGAACTAAACTAAAAAAAAAAAACAAAAAAAAGAAAGAAATAAAAC